TAGGTCCACAAGGACATCTTTGTTTAAGTCCACTGGCTTATAACCCTAGCACACCGTTGCATCAGTTATTATATGGATTCCCCAACCTTATTGGTAAAAATATTATTGGAACATATTTATTGATAATAATTTTTTTTAAAGCCGAAGCACTGGGGATTATTATGCTGCTCAAGCAATAGCGTAAGTCAAACTAGAGAGGTCTTGAAGATTGGTTATTCAACAGTCGTTTTTGCTTTTTATAAACACTTCACGTCAGTCGAGGACTTTTTCCTTTTTACTGGTCTGATGAATGAGCTGAACTTGTAATTGTAGGTGTTTGAGTGAAATTTTTCATGTTGTTTCGAATACCTACTGTGTCCCCGGTTGGACACAGTAATCATAGTCCACTAGCCAAGTAGGTAGATCAAGCTGTAACAAACTAACAAGGTCTCGATCACCTGTGCGACTTTAACTACAGCGAACGTGGCATCGGGTAGTTTCTAATGCTGGTATTTTCACGACATATATTAAATGTCTACTGATAAATGTTGTGTACCTTAATTTTGTATGCTTAGCCTAAAAGGGTGTATTTTTAACGTCTCCATTATGCAATGAGTATTGTCTGTATGCCATAGATCAGAGAAGAATAATCTGTAAATCCTTGATCACCTTTCTGCCGGTCACAGGAGTTGCACAATAACGCCCTATTTGCAAGTTAGCAATGGAAACACAACTGATAACATATTGTAGTAAATCCTAGTAAGAACGATACCGAAAAAAAGCCAAGGCATTCGACCTATATTCCTAGCCACTGTGCGGGGCTCGGGAGTGAGCCTAGAAGTTTATTCATCGGACATTCCGGACATTCTGTAGCAGAAACGGGTGATTCTAACACAGGGAATTTCAGTATTTTTTCCGGACATTCTGTAGTAGAAACAGGTTATTCTAACACAGGGAATTTCAGTATTTATATGATAGGTTGCTATGCTACTGTATACCTATAATAATTAAAAGCCCCCCCCTTACTGAAGATGGTTGCCTGCTTGTACGCAAC